CATTTTTCAGTTCTGAAACTTACAGGATATTCTTATAATATGATTACCTCGGCTCTTAGATGTCAAAAGCTCAAGGAAAATTTGATTTCTCATCACCCCTTTATTCATTCAGGAACTAAACAAGTGAGCGTCTTCATGCGTCATTTAATCATTCTTTAAACCAATTTGCTCTAAAACACTGGTCATTTTTGGCATATAAAAGTGGCCATCTTAATGAGTGAGCCATTGACTCTTTCCTTCAACTAATTTGTTCAAACATGCATCATTAATTGATTAGATCAGTATGTCTAGATCAGAATGGGACAATCATTTCTTCAGCTCATGGAGAATCATTGGTCACTGGCAATCCATAGTCCACCCTATTAACAGCTTCCGATTTCAAACTTCCTACACGTCATGCGGTCAGAGAGAGGGTCATTAACCATTAACTTAAATGCTGAGAAATCAGCTAATGGAATGATAGCATAATGGACCTAAAGAACGCATGCTAGCAGAGCTAGGATTTTCCATCTCTTAAATCAGCATAATATTTCTCTCAGAGCCTGGTGACAGAATGGACACAGGAGCGTTGAGCTGGCAGCATTCCTACATACACAAATGTGTTCTTGGATCCTTTAGCCTGCCATCTTTGACAATACAGACAGAGCCCTTGCTGTTTACTCATCATGCATGTGCTCTAATTAGTTAAAAGCGTTCAGCATGATTTGGAAGCTATTAAATACAGCAGGTGATATTTATCACAGGCTTTTTGATTTGAGTAATAATGATGACTCATAATACATGATGTAATGTAAAAGAGAATATGACCAATGGATATATATATATATATATATATATATATATATATAGTATATCTAATATTTATGTGTTATATTTTTTAAATCAGTTTTATCTATTATATTTACAATATTGTTCCTGGAATATTATTTACTTTATATATTGCAATTAGCATATTGTTATGTGTTATTCACTATTTGTAGTGTGTGCGTGTGTGTGTGTGTGTGTGTGTGTGTGTGTGTGTGTGTGTGTGTGTGTGTGGTTGTGTGATTGCTGCCTATGAAGAGCATTTCAAATCCTTTATGAGATTCCATTCCATTTCAGTTGGAAAGCTTCTTTAGAAGATACAGTAGCTGCCAATGTAGGATTCATGTCATTTATTTTAAAATGTACATTCAATTTACAGTTTCCTTTATTCCCTTTAGAGTGCATATTGTCACGTGGAATGTTGGCTCCAGTATACCACCTGATGACATCACGTCCCTGTTTGGGCCCGGGGTTGAAAATGGGAGCACTGACATGTTTGTTGTTGGGTGAGAATGTCTGAAGTGCTGCATAGTGCTGTTTTCTTAAATACATTATGGTTGTTGCATTATTAACTTATAATTCACTTTATTAACTTTAATAATTACCTTTCCTCTGCATCCTTTGTGGGTTTTCTCATTTCCAAGTCCATTTTGTCATCTTGCCCTGTTTGTCCTTGTTTTAAAGGTATTCTTCTATACCCATCTTATTCTCCTCTGTCTTTCTTTCTCTCTGCTTCTGTCCTTTTCTCTCTCTTTTTAGACTACAGGAAGTAAACTCCATGATAAACAAGCGGCTTAAAGACGCTCTCTTCACAGACCAGTGGAGTGACCTCTGCATGGACACACTCAGTCGTTTTGGATATGTGTTGGTCAGTATGAAATCAAATGTCTAGTTCAGTCATGAAACTCTTACATGCAATTTGCAAGTTGTCTCAGCATTACCACATGGCACAAGCCGATTGGCTCTTGCTGTTTCCGCAGTCAATGATTGCTTCCTCAATATTTAAAGAGTCTAGTTCGGTGTTTGCAGTAGTCTAGTCCTGCAGTTCCTCTGAAACCCTCCACCTCCCCAAGCTCCACCTGCCTAGATCTGTACCAGTATTAATGAATGCTTAATCATGCAGAAGCTGCATATCTTTAATGCTCACAGCAGCATGTCTGTGTATCTAATAGCTGTAGCAAGTCCATGGAGTAGTAGCAGAAGCATGGATGAGATGGAATAGCTACAACAATAGGCACTTGCATTGACGAACACTTGGGTGAGGTGTTAAAACATATATGTAACTCTGGTTTTAACAAGCAAGTTATCAGTGATAACTTCTGGAAAGAAATAGAGGAGACATACTTGAAATTTTCTAGCATGTTTGTGCTTACATTCATAGTAATATGAGTGCACCATCTTGATATATCTAAAGTCTTTGAATGTAGGCATACCCAAGCGCCTGGATAAAAACTTTCACATTTTTTTTTCAAATTGAAATAGTGATGTTTGCCGTAGTAAACACCACAATGTACATTTACTTGAAATGTCTTTATATTCCTCTAGGTGGCGTCTCAGAGGATGCAGGGTGTTTTCTTACTGGTGTTTTCCAAATTCTGTCACCTTCCCTTCCTCAGGGGAGTACAAACCCAAAGCACACGCACTGGCCTGGGCGGCTACTGGGTGAGTCAAGTGAGCAAAGACCTCTGGGAAATAATTTATAAACGTGTATGTGATCAGTGATTGTTGAACATCAAACATCTGTATAATGTCGCGACCCCCAGCCGTGCAATGTCTTTGATGATTACAGGAAAAGCAGAGTCAAAGAGAGACTGTGGAAATTAGGCTGCAAGTGTGTTTTCGTGTATGTGGCAGTGAGTTTGTGTGTGTGCCCGTGACCCTGCTGTGTGTTGTTGTCAGCATGGCTTCAGGCTCATTTTGCAGTCTCCCTTGAGTAGGGCACAGTAGGACACGCTGCTGCTCTGTTTGTGATATGTCTTGCGCTGCATAAACACACACACACACACACACACATCAGGTTCATCTCTGCTTGATCAAATAGAGACTTAACACACACGCAGTAGCTCTCAGTTCTCCCCAGGATGTTACCCCGAAAGAGAGAGCACAACCCATGGGAACTGCAGCACCAGTCTGATAATAAACTGCATGTCTCTGCACAGCGCATCATTTCACCCTTGACTGACCAACACACCTGCCTTTTTGAGCACAGTGTTTATGATATAGTTCACTTACAAATGAAAATGTGCTCATTTACTCATCCTCATGTTGTTCCAACGACAGTTCAGAGTGATCGCTTCTGTTGAGCTCTAAAACAGACAAATACAGTAGGCAGATAAAAACGTAGTGGTGGTTTTTAAATATGAGACTGAATCATGCCAAATTGAAATTTCAGTTGAGGTTTAGTAATTTTGTTGTGTGTGTTTGTTTTATTTATTTATTTTTTTCTGGAGAGTTTTAATTTTTATTTCTGTTTTAGCTTTTAGTACTTTTACGCAAACTAATTTTTATTTCATTTTTACATTTTCTTTTCCAGTTTGTTTTTCTTCTAATATCAATATTTTAATTTATTTTAGCAAATGAATTACCAATTTGACCAAAATGACCATTAAAAACATTATTTTAAAGTTAACAAACAAGATTACATTATTTTAAAGTTAACAAACAAGATTAATCCCAGTATGTTCATAAATGAGACATCAGAAGCCATACAAATATTTTTTGTGAGAAACCAACCAAAATGTAAAAATTCGTTTTGGGTGCCATAGAAAAAATAACCGCAGAATAGTTTGGATCAACATGAGGGTGAGTGAATAATTTCTGTAATATTGTTGTTTTTTCTTTCACAATTAGGACAAACACTTAACTATGGAGTGCAGAGCTGTATTATTAATGTCTTCCATTATCCTCCACCTCTATTTGTTTGTCTCAGGGGAATAAAGGGGGCGTGAGTACACGCATGATGGTTTTCGGACATCCTGTTTGCTTTCTCAACTGCCACCTGCCTGCTCATATGCGAAACCTCGAGCAGCGAATGGAGGACTTTGAAAGCATCCTACAGCAGCAGCAGTTTGAGGGCGGCACTGCCGTGGGCGTGCTTGATCACGAGTGGGTATCTACCTGCGAAAAAAGCAGATGCTTGATGCCTAGCCTTACTTATGTACTTTTAAAGCTATACTATGTAATTTTTTGGCCCTGTTTTGCTGAAGAACATTGTTTTGGTTGTGCTTCAACTCTGAATGTGGTTTTAGGCACTAGTGTACACATGGATAATCTTTCATATAATGTGCTTGTATTTGTTATAATCACAAAATCATCTCTGAAACACTGCCACAAAGCTAAATACCATATTAATAAATAATTGGATATGAAATAATAATTAAAAATTATTTTATTTTGTGATACCTTTTTATTAAACCATTGCATAACCTTTGTACATGTTGTTGGTTTATACAAACTGTATTTTTTATCTTTATTTGAGCATTAAGCTGAGTGGCTTTATACAGATGAATTTTGACCTGTTGGGTTAACTTGAAATTATTGCGTTCTTTCACAGTGTGGTGTTCTGGTTTGGTGATCTGAACTTCCGAATCGAAGGTTATGATATTCATGTGGTGAAAAGTGCAATTGAGAATGACAAACTGCCTCTACTGTGGGAAAAAGATCAGGTAAGAGAGCAAAAAAAAAAAATCAAAAAGAAGTGTGTTTAATTGTATTGAATGTACACTTGTAGTTTAGTAGACAATAGACAATTGAAGTAATTATGAAATTACATATAAAGATGATAAGGTCAAAAAAGCAGTGATTTTACCAAGTACATAATGTTCCTGGATCAACATCTTTGTCAACAACATTCCAATCAACCAATCAGATTTGATGGAGTTTAGGTGCTTATACATCAGTTTTACTCACCCTCATCATTTCCCTCTGATTTTAGGAATATGGATAGGGTTAGGACTCAATATTTGGACAGGAATGTTGAACATGTCTTACTTGGCAAAATCATGGTGACCCTTTTGGATAGTAAGCTAAAGTGTACTTTTTTTAAACAATGAACGAGGCCTCATGTTCACATCAATGAAAATATTCCTTATCAGTCACAAAACACCAGGTGTCTCTGTACAGATCCTGGCAATACTGATTTTTTAATCTGTTACCACTAGAGGTCAGTGTACTACATCTATAAACAAAGTGGCTTGATTCAACTCTGTGTTGTCTGCTAGATTCGGTTGTTGTTAAAAAGGATTAAGTGAAAGAACATTTTGTCTTTTTGTTTTGTCTGTCACAGCTCAACATGGCGAAAAAAAGCGAGTCCGTTCTGGAGGGATTTATAGAAGGCCCCCTGAAATTCCAGCCAACTTACAAGTTTGATGTGGGAACACACACTTATGACACTAGGTGAAGGATTGAAATATGCTTTTCTTCATGAGTCTTTCTGTTTCCCTGGCCTCTTATTCAAACCTGGCTTTCTTTCCTAGTGCAAAAAAGAGGAAACCTGCATGGACAGATCGCATCCTGTGGCGTCTGCGCAGGACAGGCTCTCCCGTGCCGTCCCATTATTCTGCCCTGCAGAGGGGTCTGACCTCATGGCTGGGCGGCGCCACCAGAGTTTCTCAGCAATTCTATCGCAGTCACATGGGCTTCACTATTAGCGATCACAAGCCAGTGTCCTCCCTCTTTACTTTGCATGTAAGTCTAAAATTGGCGGGAAAGATACTGGATAGTCTGTGAGCAGCGTTGCCTGTATTTTAGGCATACAGTGTCATGCGAGATATTTATTACCTTGACACTTCGACATTTACGAGTTAAAAAAAGTTGCTTATGGCCACAGACACACTCCTAATAAATTTAAATAGATTTCCTCACTGTTTTTTGTTTTTTTTAAGACCTCGGTAAAAGGAGAAAAGGTTGTATTATAGTAGTAATGAATACAATTTTTACACTTCTGTCCCATCAGTTTCCCTTTAAGGTGAACCAGCCATTAGTGACACTGGAAGTGGAGAAAGAATGGACCAAGTTCTCTGATGCTACAGCAAAACTCACAATGGCACATGGCTTTCAGAGGAGTTCATGGGACTGGGTGGGACTTTATAAGGTAATACATTAATTGCATTTTCACATAAAACAATGTTTAATCCATTTTTTTACTTGGAACAATTACACACATTATTTTATTATAATAATTAATCACAAATTTGTTCTAATGTGTGTCATTAACTCTGATAACCTCATTTAAACCTCATTTATGCTCCTCTATCACCAAAAATAATTGCTAAAATAACATTTCAGGCTACAACTGTAACCTATGTTCCCTGAGAACAGGGAACGAGACAGGAGGTCAAAATAGAAATAAAGAAGGCTAAATTGCAATACAAAAATAAGATTGGAAAAAATAGGCAGTAACAATCTGAAAGTAACATGGGATGGTGTGAAAAAGATGATAGGTTTGCAAAAAACACAAAATAAACCAGTCCAATTGCCAATGTATAAAAATGATAGCATTTTGACAGCAGCAAAACTAGCATGCTGATGCAGATGAAGACGCACGGAGAATGGGTTCTTCCATGACTTCTTCGATCTCTGAGTGGAGATCGGGAAGGAATGGAATGCTCACCCAAGCTTGTGGCTTACGGTTTGGAAAGAACCGATCGTCCAAAATACCAATCAATCAGGTTCCTCCCGGACACGCCTCCACTGCAGCTGCAATCTGTTGGTGGCGCGCCCCATATCGTCCACCAACTCAGCGTACACTGGGCAGGAGGGCTGAGATGGTTCAGTCCTAACCAGACTGATATCATCTGCAGCCGACTCCTGCCCGGCCCCAAGAGAACCAGTTACAGACCCACCAGAAAAAGAAAGAACCTCTACATTGACCTGCAACTCACCCTCATCTGCTGGCAGATCATCTGCGAAGTTAATGCCCATTTCCAGCTGATCTGCCAGCTCCATCTGAGAGCCCCATGAGCTCAAGCACCACTGAGCCTCATGCCGCTCCCACTTTCTTCGAGAAGTGGTACAGACAAGAGCGGAGAGTTCTGAGAAAAACTCTCACAGTTTTCACAGGAAGCTCCCTTGAGAAAGCACAACAATCAAACAACAGACACAAGAATTTCCAAGAACATTTTTAAATAGAAAGAAATATATATATTACATGGAAACTATGACATAAGATGTTGTTTGTCTGACACTAATAATCATAATTATTTTCATGTTTTCATCTGCACAGTGTATGAGTACAAATGCACTTTTACTTCACTTAACTGTCACTTTAGTTTAGTTTAAACCACTGCTAGAACAGAACATGTGATTTGGTTGATGTTGATATACTTGTTGTCTATACAGAAATATTAAATCCAGTGTTTATTTACCTGCTGTGCTGTGATACACTGCATTTATAAATCCTTCATATCTGCACCTCTATGTTATTATATACTTGTATACTTACTTTTCTATTGCCTTTTTTAGGTGGGATTTAAGCATCACAAGGATTACGCTGCTTATGTTTGGGCCAAATCTGAGCATTCAACGCAGGTAGGACATGAGAATTGTTAGTCGTGACTCGTGTTTGTGTGTAAGATGTTTTCTGGAGATCTGCAACCTTACCTTGACCTTTACGTCTTTCGTTGTTCACAGGACAAAGCTTTAATCCCAAAATCAAATAATTCCTGGATAATCTTGGATTGAAAGCTTTAAGATCACTGACCAGTATTAATACTAACAAAGTAGAATGATCGTGTAGCCAGTGCTGACTAGCATTATCTGTAACCTGTTGTTTTTTCATGACCTTCAGGTAACATTTTCTGAGGAAGATTTGCCTAGGGACCCAGGGGAATATATTCTGGGATATTACAGTAACAACACGAACAGCATCGTGGGAGTGACAGAACCATTTCAGGTCCACACTTCTCTCACACAGCTACATTCTGATTCCACACAAATGCAAATATTAGTTTGGTTTGAATGAGTGTGTTATTCCAAGGGCATGATGACTTGGTCATTGCAGTCTGACATCCCCATCGTCAACATTGATTGCAGCCTTGATTTGTATTTGAGGCTTGTTATCCACAAATAACAAACACAGACTCAGTTGTTTCATTTGAATTTCCAACTGTTAGACACATATTGAAAGCACACACAATATAAATAAGACAAAATATACCACAGTGTCAGTGAAAAACACAATGTTCCACACAGTTTCAAAGAGGTTCTATCAGTAAAATTGGTATTAGTAGGAACGAAACCAAAACCACTGTGGTAAAAAATATCCACGATTCACAACGTAAGATATGTCTTAGTTCCCACTTAGACTGATATATAAAGTGACTGATTACAATTTGTTTTGTTTTATGCTAATTAAGGGCAGTAGTTATTGCACAACTGCTTGTGTCAAAATGTCACAATGTTGATGGTCTATTTGATTGACAGGTTGACCTTCCGGTATAAGGGTCAGGGATTAACCTTTGCCCTTGTGCATCATCGATCATGTGTTTTTGAAAGCTAGTATTGACCTATTGACCTATTGAGGAAAAAAGAGATTTTATAATAATGTTGTACATCTCACACAAAAGTTGAAAGATTATATTCTATATAAATAAAATTCTTGTAAATTTACATCTACACTCTTAAAATGGATGTGTTAAAAACAACACAACCTGTGTTATATCTTAACACACCTGTGTGTCTAGTTAAGGACAACACATTTTGTGTTACTTTTAACTCAACCAGTGTGTTATTGTTCTTAACAGGGAGTGTGATTTCACTAAGTTTGCACTTTGAATTAGATTAAAATGTAGCAACTGACAAAATATTGCGTGTAAATAAGTTTTATTTACACTGGTGCACTCTTATAAAATGATTTTGTAAATAACACAACCTGTAAAAAGAGATGTTAAAAATGACACATGCTGTGTAGATTTTAACACATAAAGTGTGTGTGCTTAGGGACAACACATTTTGTGTAGATTTTAACACATGCTGTGTAGATTTTAACACATTTTGTGTAGATTTTAACACATGCTGTGTAGATTTTAACACATGTAGTGTGTGTGCTCAGGGACAACACATTTTGTGTAGATTTTAACACATGTTGTGTAGATTTTGACACGTTTTGTAGATTTTAACACATGTAGTGTGTGTGCTCGGGGACAACACATATTGTGTCAAATTTAACACACAACCTGTGTTGTTTCTTTACACATCTCTGTTTTCATAAGGATTACACATTTTGTGTTACGTTTAACACAACTAATGTGTTAGCAGGGGTGTAAAGTAACGAATTACAAATACTCACGTTACTGTAATTAAGTAGTTTTTTTCAGAAATTGTACTTTTTTGAGTAAGTTTAAAATTGTGTAATTTTACTTTTACTTGAGTACATTTTAAGTGATGTATCGGTACTTTTTCTCCGCTATTTTCCTTCTGTTTGTGGCCGTTACTCGTTACATGCTTGTTTTAATTTGATTTTTATCCATCAACGTGATTGGATCGAGTAATCGGTCTCGTGACTGTCATCAATTCAAATTAAGCATAGAAAACTTACCGCCTATTCCTGCTGTTACTCGTGACTGATGTGGATGTGCATTCATCACGCATCAATTCAATCCAGATATCAGCGTCTTCCTCTAATATGCTAAGGTACATTTCACATTTCTGCTTAATATGATATTTATAGGCTGGCCTGTCTACATGGCCTAACATTTGGTCTGAGGTTGGGGGAATTGCGAGACGAGTTCATGATGCGGTGAATTCCCGCTCCCATTTACTTCACAATCATAGAGACGCGCGTCACGATCTGTGCACCACTGCCGCGTCTCGCGCTCGCCATGCCGCCAGATTCAGAATCAGTGCACATGCCGTTAACTTGAACTGCATTACTTAATAAGAAATTAGCACAGCTCGTTAATAAACAGCGTTTTTGATTGATCCATTATATGACCCGTCTTCATTTGGAAAGTGCACTTGCGCAAAAACATTTTTCATGCTGAACTTTTTTTTTTTTTTTTTTTGGATGCATGCTGCTGATAAAACAGACAAAGTGTGTTTGTTTCTTTTGTAGAAGTTTCCTGGATATAACTTCCCTATTTAATGCACGATTTTCCTTACAAATTATATTATCAGCATCAATGTGTGTAAATGTAGCCGTGTAAAATGTAAGGGATGATGCCACCCTTCTAGAACAATGCATTTACGTTTAAATTGTAACATATTTAATAGCATGGAATAAAAGTGTGTAATTAGTGTTAGCTCACTATCTTAGCCTTTTTCAGTGCATTAGTTGAGGTAATATGATAATATTAGTGATTCTCATTTATCAAAACACTAACATTGGTACCGTTTTGGAGAGAAATTGGGTATTTTTTTTATTTTATTTAACCCATCTCTTGGTGTGTGATGCTGAACTATCATATGAGTTTCTAAAGGTTTTTCAATTCTTTGCACAGTTATGAATATTGATATTTTATGTGCAACAATAACATGCTCAGGCCCAGTGGCTTTTTGCCTAATTTTAAATGCTTTTTCCCCCAAATAATATGATTTAAATGGTGATGAGTGTACTGATTTGATGCATTTTAAAAAGATGGATGATAGATATTCTTCAATCTTTCTTACAAAGAACAAATGTGAATTCCAGTATGTGCATTTTTTTAATTTATAAATTGTAGTGCACAGTGTTTATTATAAGGGTTAGAATCCGCACCTCAGTACTCACTACTCACTACTCTTGAGTACTTTTAAATAAGCTACTTTTTTACTCTTACTCAAGTAGTTTTTTGGACAAGTACTTTTTACTCTACTCACACTACATTTTTTGGAATGTAATGGTACTTTTACTTGAGTATGTTTTTTCAGTACTCTTTCCACCACTGTGTGTTAGACAGCAGCAGTGTGTTACACGCTAATGTGTTATAGTAACACAACTTGTGTCAGATATGCGTCACATGTGACTGTAGTCGGAGAGTATTTGCCAGAGTTACTTCCCGTGTGCTTACAATAGTGTTTGGATGAACATTGCAACGCATTCTCATCCTTCAACGTCATATAGAACGCTATATGACAAAACGGCGCTATACTACGCACATGGCACCCGTTATCGTTAATACAACACGTGCTGTGAGGGCTAAGTTTAGGTGTGGGGTAGGGTGTGCGTGTCATATTCACGCTAAAGGATTTATAACGTCTTGGGTTCGCGTGTTATATTAACGATAAAGGGTGCCATGTGCGTAGTATAGCGCCGTTTTGTCATATAGCGTTCTATATGACGTTAAAGGATGAGAACGGGCTGAACATTGACACGTATTGGTAACTTGTGTTTATGTAGTCCAGTGATGTTTAATAGAGTTTGTTTGAACATTTGGATGTTTTAAACATCATTAATCTACATAGACAAGCTCTTATTGAGAATTAACAGAGGTTTGATGTTTCATTTCAGTTTTATTTCAAGTCACCAGAATCGTGATTAATGGCTCCTTTATTTGGGCTCTTGACCCTTTATTCTTGTTTTAGTGTTTCTCTGCCTGCTGTAACTGTATTTTAATCAAATATATCTGTTATGGTGACAGAAAATATGATCAGATGGTTCTTGATGATGTCATAATCAGCAAGTTATGATCAAGTTTTTGAGTATATGGATGGTGTGCTTTATTTTAATGATTTATTGTTAGTTCTGAAAGTTTTGTGAAACTACATCCAACAATCAAAAAGTGCAGAATGACAAAAAAAGTTTAAAGCTACAGCAGAAACCAGTCAAACACAGATATCAAGAATCAGCGTATGGATCTCAATAATGGTGACAAACAAAAAGTTTCATGCCGCAATCCATGCTGGGACTTATGGATGAGCTTTATACTAGAGACATGAAGCTTTGCCACCATTGTTGAGAGTCATATGCTGATTCTTCATGTCTGTATTTGACTAGTTTCTGCTGCAGCTTTAAACTTTCTCTAAACATATTTTTTAAAGAAGTATAACATAAGGTATAGCATACACCATAATATCATTTAAACACTGAGTATCTGTAATCAAATATAAGTGATCAAATATAAGTTATCTCTTAAACATTAAACTTCTCTTGCTATGTTAAAAAACATCATGTTGAAAAATGATCATTTAATGATCTTTTTCCTCAAGATAATTTCAACTGTTTCAGATGTGCAATATAAATTCACAGAAACAGCAAACAGAGAAACGAATGGTAAAGAGTGAAGGGTCAAGAGCCTAAATAAAGCTGCCACTACTCACGATTCTGGTGACATCAAAACAAACATTCAATGAATCGTCAACACAAAACCTGGTAATTCTCAATAAGTGTTTCTGTAGACGTCTGACAGAAATAAATTGTTTGTTATAATAAATTAGTTATTAATAACAAGTGAACTCAGCATTTGAAAAAAACATTGAAACCGAGGCATGATGTGATTGGCTGCCAAAAACACTCATTAATCTGAAGTTTTTTATGAATTAAGATTTTATTTATTTATTGTAATGTATTGTTTCATTTATTTTAGAGCTTGTTATGGGATACCATATAAAATATACTACCTCTAATTATGTTCTTAAACACAAACTTCCCTCCACCCATTAAAATTCTATCCAGTTACATTTTAACACACATTTGTGTGTTAAAAACTACACAACTTGTGTCAAAATACCATCAACACATGATGTGTGTTGTTTTTTAACACATCTCTTTTCATTTACAAAATATAATGTTGAACACTAACTACTGAAAAAAAGATACTGTTAATTTAAAATAAAATATATAAAATTAAACATCTGACTAAATTTACTGATCCAAGTATTAAAAAAAAAACACATTTTCAGTGAGTTAAAGAAGCCATACATCTTAAGAATAGGTGACAACCACAAAAAAATCTTCTCATATATTTTCATACAGTT